CCGCGCTCTGGGACCGTACGCAGCAGCTGCTGGCGGGACACGATCTCACGACTCAGTAGTAAAGTTTCTGGCGTCAGTCCCCCTTTAGGTTTGCTTCGCTTTTCCCCCCTGTTGTTGCCTAAACGTACATTCTGACTGACCTTCGTGGCTGCACAAGAATTAATCTGTCATCCCTCGCCGGCAAACAGGACAACTCGCCGGGGACCTTTCATAGCTTCATCCTTCGCCAAAATGTGGCTGAATACCAGAGGGCGGCCCTCCCTCTGGAACTCGTTTCGATAGTTCCTATGCTATCGGGCAGTTGTCACTAACCAGCCCCTGCACACTTTAGACGACACCTTTTTGCCTTTGACGGTAGTTTGCACAGCTGGCAGACGATTTAGTGCTTATACCTACCTTGACCGTGCACCCACACTGTCCTCCTAAGGGGTGGAGAGGGAAGGGAGTTGTAAGAGGCGGAGCAGTGTTAGTGTAGGGTGGGCATATAGTGAAACTTTTGGCCAATTCTGTCTTAAAACCACCCTTCTCCTCACACCGGGCTCCGCTTACTCTCTCCTCTCGCTCTTGCTGTTCACCTTTTTACCTTTCTTTACTCACCCTCTTCCTCCGATCCCCCTTCGCGTGTCTCCGCTATGTTGTCTTTTTCCCCATTACCCACGGCAGTTTACGTTCACCTGTAAATCTTCACGACGAAGGAAATGTGCTCAGACGTGCTCATCTGTCGCGCAGCACGCTTGCTTGCATTGCTGCCCCTAGTACCTTTCTTCTCCCGCCGTCTCTCAAAGTAGACGTTTCTCTTTACTGTGGACGGACTGACGACGTCGGCCCTCGAAGTTGCCTCCGCGTTCGCGCGTGCCTGCGTCCGCGGCCCGCGGTGAGTGTCGTCTGCGCTGGATGGGCAAGCCGTCAATCCTCACTGTGGGTGTTTGTGCTCCCTGTGTGAGAATGCCCGCCGCCCCCACACTGGCGTCGGCAGAGGAGGCGCGTCTCTCGACTCTGCGACCGGCTGCCTCGAGCTCGTCAAATTCGCCGTCGCTGATTGGCAGGCGCATGTGATGGGGCGTCAAGGTCGTTGCGCGACCAGGAGGAATTCGTTCCGTCAGCCTCTGAAGGAAAAGTTACCAAACATTACCATTTGGCCGTGTCTGTAGCGACTGCCTCAGCTCATACTATGAGGAGGTGATTGCGCAGGTGTGTTGGCCGGATCACAATAATGCCGAGCACACATAGAGGATATTCTGGTTTAGGAAAGCCTGTCTTGGTAAACCTGCAATCTTGCTGTAATAATTTATGATTTGCTGAACACTACTCCACAATGGTGAAGGCGAGTTCAACTCACCACTGGTTTTAAAACCCCAGGAGTATGCGGATTTTAAATACATACTTTCAGGCGATGTTGTCCTCTCCTGATTGTAAGAACCAAGTCATTACTTAATTCCTCACAATTAACAGTGACGCGCTTGAAGCACACGGTGGACATTGGCGAAGTCGACGGCCGAACTGTATGTATAAAATCAGTCGGGCGTCGACGATATCGAGCGGTAATCCTGTGGAGAAGGAGAGGGCGAGGTTCCGGACAAGGTTCCCCCGCTATAGGCCCGCCGACGCCCGGGTCTCCACAGTGGTGGTGGTGGTGGCGTAGTAGCTAACGACGAACAAACTACCGGGCAAGGGCGTGCCTTTTTCTATCCGCAAATATGAACGAAGGTGTGACCAGATCGCAGTCATCTCCGTTCTGGTCTGTATACCTCTGACACGAGTTCGTTTATGCGCAGGTTTTTTGAATTACTGCCAATTGGTTCCTTTGTCCGTCGAGGGCTTTCTGCAGCTGACTGTTCTCCCTCTCTCTTCCACAACTGACCTCGCGGTGTTTTTCAGGACGCTGCTGGCACCTTAGCCATGACGATGAATGCGGCTGCGGCAGCCGCCATTGCGGCCTCTTCACGCAACGCCCAGGTCTCCGCCTCGCCGACTGGTCCCTCCGGAGCTGGCGGCGGGAGCCTAGCTCAAGTAGCCAATCAGGCTGCAGTAGCCGACTATCTGCGCTTCCTGGGTCAGCTGAGCGCCGCTGGCCTCGGTTTACCCCATTCTGGCGGTGGAGGACCGGGGGGCGCTGGGTTCTCCCAGCAGTCCTCCACCCGTTAAGACTTCGCCTCTCCCCCCCCCCCAATCCTTCCTCCTGCACCGCTGTGCACACCCACACGCACGCAAACCCGGTTCTATCCGTGACGCAATATTCGCCCTCTTTTTACTCTGGGCAGGTGCCAGTGTCCACTTAGCACCTCTCACTGTTTATCTGTATACCTGCAACTTTACGCCTCTTTGGGAAACAGATTCTAACTCCCGCGCTCACATCTCCTCTCGCTCCTTTTACAATCTTGGTCTACTTGCACATTTATACATATACACGCGCACGTAATTTTCGGATGCGGCTGTCTTCTCCCCATGTTTTCGACCCCCGTCATCCTCTTCTTTTTCCTTGTGCGTATTTTTATTTGTGGAACAAACTTGACAAAAAATCTGCTATATTTGAACAGCTTATCAGTCTGTTCGTGTTCCCTTGATGACTATCTTACATTATATATATATATATTTATATATATATATATAATGTCTACCCATCGACCCCGTCCTTCTTATCGACATCTTATGTAAACGCAGCTTTCGGTAGAACAGGACCCTAGACAACAACGCCAATGCCAAATACAGGCTTTTTGAATTTTTTACTTTTGATCTTTTTCGGCAGTCGAGTCGACGCGTGGGGCCGTGTTTTAGATTGCGGATTCAGGTCTGTCCACGGTGTGGATCACAACCAGTTCAAACAATTGGCTGAGGGCTTCGTTCGTATGCCGCGCTAGACTATCAGCTGCCTGCTTGAAACTGGGTGTGTGCACCTACGACGGAGGGGGGCCGGTTGTGAAGTTTTTCCCATCTCTACAGCATTATCAATTGACATGAGTTTGTGTGGATACTACCATAACCATGAAGATTACGGTAGGCTCGGGAGTCTGGGAAATTTCTATCAGCGAAAGACAAATGGACCTCCGACAGACCCGCAAGTCCCCTAGGCGCAGGCAACATATATCACCAGACGCACTTGGACCCGGATATTGTGAGACATGCGTTGCGTGGTTGAGTGTCTGGGGATTGAAGGCCACAGTTGTCCCAGAATTCAGATCCAGAAGAAGCCCGTCTCGCCTTGATTACGTAGCTCGGTAATTGTATTTTCGCCATTGCAGGTCTGAGCTGACTATCGGCTTTAAAGCTGCCGAGAGAGAGAGCGCAATTCCTGGATGATCAGTACCTCAACGGCCGACCTGCACGAGTGATTTTGCCCCGACTGGGCGTAATCTCCGGACAAATTTATGCTGACACTTGCATGACGGACAGTGCACTAGGCGAATGCACGAGTCCCGGCTCCCTGGCAATTGTATACGTATTTTAAATTTACTTATGTAGCTTGTGGGGGCGTTCTCTGTTCCAGGCTGTGTAGGAAGTCACTATTGTGCATGCGGGCGAGCGGCAATTGATTTTTCCCAGCTCTCGAACTCACCTGATTTCAACGGTAGATATGACAACAGTAACTGAACAAGTTAGTCAATCGGCGTATCTAGTGCTTCACGCCTGAAGGGGACTCCGCGTGAGGACCCCAGATTTACACATCAGTTGATTGAGCTCTCATCAGGGGGTCCAGGCTTCAGCCAGGTCTCGACATGGGAGATTATCTTGGTGGTTGCGAAGTGACGCGTTTCGAAGGTGTGGACAGTACCTTGTGGTAATTTGTCATCCCGTTGCACTACCGGCTTATGCCCGTGTGCGCGGGACCCCGGGATGCGTTCAGTCCGACCTGTGTTCAGGCAGTGAGGCAGGAGCGCTATACCGCAGCAGACTGCTCCGTGGGGTTTAATCAACCCTAAATTCTCGTGGCCCCACTGCGCATGCTAGCTTTGAGCCGGTGTGCAGCTACGACACCTTTGCAGTTCCCAGCGGCCGCGACGTATTTGGGTTACTACTACCACCGCCGACACCACCACCATCACCACTATTACTACTGCTACTACTACCACCACCATGACCACTAATATTACTGCTGCTGGCACCACCACTAGTACTACTGCCGCCATTGCCGGCACCTACTGCTACTACTACTACTACTACTACTACTTTTGCTACTACCGCTGTCAACCCTAGTACTGACGCTGATGCTGCTACTACCAACACCACCGCTGCTGTTGACAATACTACTAATAATACTACTATCCCCCCTAGTGCTACTGCTGCTACTGCAAGCACTACCACTACTACTATTACTGCTACTACTACCACTTCTGCCACTACCACTTCTACTACGGCTGCTGCGTCGTGCACGGAAGCCAGGTTTAATACTTATCTCTGGCCGAAACCACAAATGCAGGTCGAAAGCCAGGGGTAAGGGACTAGATGCTTTAGAGGATGTCTCCTCGGAGGCGTGTTGGGAATCACTATGGACTGACCACCCGTCTCGTGATGCCAAAAGTAGCCAGTTCGTTTGCTGGGGGAGAATCTGATGCAGCGCAGATTTAGATTCCGCTGACGGAGGCGTGCGTCGCGCCGCATAACCCCTGTGTCTTTGGTGCTTATGTGTCGGACCGACAGTGAAAATAATAAGACTTGGCATTTAGGCGCAAATTTTGTCAATTAGAAACGTCAGTTTCTCTGATTGGATGGAAGAACTCAGAGTACAACGGGGTTGGAGAGCTCTTGTCGTCGTCGTCGTCGCCGCCGCCGTCGTCGTCGGACTTCCCGCCACCGCGCCTGCCACCGACACCATAAGCATCTTGGTCGTCACGACCATTGTGGTCACCGTTATAATCGCGAAACCTAGGCAACGACAGCGGCGTTACCAGTCCGACGCGAAGCAACAACGGCCCAAGACACTGCCCTCTGCGATGCTGCTGGTAGTCAGAACTGGCTATCTGAGCGCAGAAAGGGCTGCTTCATCAACGGATACAGCCGAGAAGAGAGAACACTCGGTAGTGTTCGGTGGCCACCGTGTCTGGAAACTGTTTGAGGGCATTGCCGCAGAAGCACATCAGTGCTTCCCCACTCGGAAGCCTTACGAGCTTCGCGAAGATGTTGGTTCTCTTTGATGAGGAAGTATGTCATGGACCGCAAGACGAACATTTCATGCCTTTCTCATAAATGCCTGCCAGTCTGGGGTCGTGTATTATAAAGAAAACGCAAGAAATGCTTGCTTTCCGGAGTCGAAAATAGGCAGATCGACCCTATATATGAGCACTTAGGATATCCGGAGGTGGGTACTCCAAGTAGTTATTGCAGTGTAAGAAGCACAGCTAAAAAAGACGATGGAGACTGCAACAGACCCCTGGCTTGTTTGCGTCACAAGTCAAGGCAAATTCGGACGTCCGGATGCCGTCCTCAAAATGACATAGATCGATGTGCCAGTGTTTCTCCAAAACTTAGGTTTCGGGCTGAGATCATTGTAAAGACTGAAGACTTCAAGGTAAAAGCCGTGGTATGTGGCATAGCGCTTCTCGATATCAAAACCGCACGCATACCAGCACTTCTCTGAAAACGCAGTCTTCGATGGCGGGGACGAAAGAGCAGGGGTTTCCGTTTCTGATTTGTTTATAGTCATAAGTCGGCTCGGGTTGTACGTCTAAGACTCGAACCTCGAGTTCTCGAAAAACACCCATATCACTGCGATGCGGCCTCGTGTCAAATCAAATTTGATCAGGACTGTGTAGTCCTATAGCCATGATAAATCAGCGCATGCCAGCCCCATGTGACATGCTAGGCGTTTAAGTCAGTGTGTTGCGAGACTCAGTGCGTAGACTAAAACGACAACGACATTTTTTACTGAACCGCAGCACGCTCTTTCTTTTGCATGCTCGCATGCCTTCAGAATCTACAAAGTCTGTGTTTTTTGGCCCCAACATTTGAGTGTCCCGACAAGCCCCGTTGCAGGATTTTTGGAAGGTGTGATGGACGACAAGACAGAGGTTCCCAAACCAGAAGTCAGGAGAGACGGATTGGGTCGGACAAATTTAGCTGTTGAGTGTGTACACAAGGGCTCTGAAAGCAGTCGCTACGAGCGCGCTCTCCAGGCAAGTTGTGGTCTGTGTCCACCGTTGAGGCGCGTGTGTGCGTCGTTCGCTGTTTCGACGTCCGCCAGCCAATCAGAGAAGGGACAGCGTTGATTGGCCTCGAGTGCTCGCGAGGTTAGTGGTAAGCCTTGCGCGTCACAGCAGCGAACCGACAGGGGGTGTGGGGCGGACAGGAGGGCATCGTGACAAAGCAACGGAGAACAAGGAGGCGCGGACTGCCACAGGCTCACACCACGCCAATGGGGATCCGAACCGCCCACCTTTTTCTTCCAAAAAATCCAGGTCAGTGTATGCTGTGGACCAGGGGCTGTGGTGCTACGTCTTGGTACAGGTTTTCACTGTGGCAACCGGTTTTCTTGATTCTGTTATGGCATCAAATTTATGTTCGGGGGAGGAGGAGGGTGGTAGATGCTGCGCAAGTTTGCTCTCACTATAAACTAACTCAAGCACAAGCCATCGACCCTGGATCCCCCTGCCGTGGAGTACACGGTGGACATCGTCGGTCACAACGTTTTGGCAACTTCTGGGTCCTACTGTTCTGTGATGTAACGTGTCCTACAATCTTTCTAGTGAATTGTAGGACTTGTCGCCTGTACATATCAGAACATGCAAAAGTTCACCCCCTGGGAGGCCGTTCTGCCAATCATGTCGTTTCGAGCATTCCCCAGGGGTATCGTTTTCCAAAGGCAAAAGTACGATTAGTCCCATAGCACTTTTCACACTGGTTGCCTACGGGGAGGGGAGATGAAGGGGGAGAGAAGAGGAGGGGAGAGGGGGGTCAGGGGAGGAGAAAGGAGAAGAAGAAAAAGAAGAAGAAGAAGAAGAAGAAGAAGAAGAAGAAAAAGAAGGAGAAAAAGAGGAGCCTTATTTTGGGGCAGTCGAAAATGTTCTCACAAATAATAGTGAAAGACAAGAGGGCACCAACAAAACCATCAGCTCGAGTGTTGTAGAATATGTTGGCAAGGTGAGCGTCAGATGTAAAAGACAAATCTACTGGTCTTGACAAAAAGACACATGGTACGATTTGGCTCGTAGACACTGGAAGATAAAGTGGCGTTACGCTTTCAGCAAGACGAGGCTTCATATGGGGAGGCACGTCAAAGGGAGATAGAAGCAGCCCAGAAGCCGACTGAGTTGGCCGATGAGGCTACCTTTTAGCTACCCAACTGTCCACACAGAAAGTTACGGGTTGCGTTGAGTCAAAAATGTGATCGATAGTGGCTCATGGCCTGGGTTTGTCGAGCTGTCTTTAGTCTGTTATGCTGGTGTTGGTGGCGGTGATAAGGATGATGATGACGACGACGACAACAACAACGACGTTTTTGTTGTTGATGATGTTGGTGCTGATGATGATGATGATGGTGATGATGGTGGTGGTGGTGGTGGTGGTGGTGGTGGTGGTGGTGGTGGTGGTGGTGGAGGGCGGGGGTGATAACAGTCTCTGTCTCTGATGATGGATTCAAGTGAGAATCCGAAACGTCAGGCGAATAAAGACCTTGTTCCAGCGATCGCTTCTTCTTCTTCTTCTTCTTCTTCTTCTTCTTCTTCTTCTTCTTCTTCTTCTTCTTCTGATCAAACAAATCTGTTGAAAAGAAACACTTGGAGGCATTATATTTAACCCTCGTTTGCGCAAATCCGTCTGCCGCAAATTTTCGAAGCGCTTATAAGACACAGTGATCATTGCCAAATGAAGGAGCTCTAATGTGGACATGAAAAATGCTGAAATAATTGACCAAAACACAAATAAGATGAGCATTGAAGCGCGCATGCAGGAAAACGATGTCGACGAAGTCCACAGGACTAAGAAGGGGCACTTTTATGCGAGGGAAATCGCCAAATAGAGGACACAATTTGCACAATGCAGTGCAACCAACCACATTCTTTTTAGCTCTCCCCGCTTTCCGTAAAACTATTCTCGGACGTTGTGGTTGAACAAGAGGTAAAAATTCAGACCGCGAGTGCCTTGTTTCTATCAAGGGCGTACAGGTAATGTCAGTGGACGTTAGAGGCAAATAATAAAAATGATTCCCGATGCACCCGACTCCACACAAGACTATTCCCCCATATGGACAATTCAGCCGTGCTTTTGTTCCGTGTAGAGGCTAAAAGCGCCCTTTTCGTCATCGTTTGAATTGTCTTCTGGTCTTGAAATCGCCCTCATTTTTAAAAACATTTATTTCACCTGGAGGCTTCAAGTCTGCCCATCTCAAAACCCTAGAGGTAGGTTACGGTGTCATTCAATCCACACCGTCCCTTTTGAATTTCCCCCGATAACCTTACTTACCCAATTGATTGAACTATTCGTCCTTTATTCTAGTGGGATTCTCACCAGTCCTAAAGGACAATTTTGAATATGACCCAGCGTGGCGATCAGATAATGGTCTTCTCCTGAATATCTCGAAAACAGCTCGAATTGCGTTTGGATGAAGACGATTTTCGGATAAAGTGGCATTAAATATTTGCCTTAACGAAGTCTCATCCTTCCCCAAGTTTAGCATTCTTTCCTGTCTCTTTTGAATACTGTCTACTTCATCCCCTTCAGATTACATACTCCGTTTGCGTCGCCGATTCACTGCTAAACCTTAAATCCGGCGAACTTTAGATACGGCTATCCTCCTCCTTCACTTCCTTCTCCTCCCCTTCTCCTCCTCCTCCTCCTCCTCCTCCTCCTCCTCCTCCTCACTTCTCCATCTCATCCTTTATTGTTCTGCTATCCATTTTCTGGCTCATTAAAAGGATGTCAGCACAAGCTGTGCCATTTGAAGTTCGCTACTGTCATCGGTTTTTTGAATGTCCTTTTCTGCAGCTCGGCATGTCGACAATCAGGATTTCTAAACACAGTCCCTCATGCGCTTCATACCAACTGAAAGGCGTCTCGTCCTAAGCCAAGTAGGTTTTGTCGCGTGTCGCGTCGAACGTCGATTCATCGTGATTTTTTAAACTCCCCTCGCTGCGTGCTTCTAACTTGTCAGGCGGTTGATGAGTAAAAACTAGCATCCAAATTGCTATGTCAACAGTCGTAGCGGTTGTTCTGTTGGGTTTTATAGCCCTATTTTCGTCTCACACAGAGGGTGCGTGAACGAGGATGGACGACCACACGCAATATCATGGTGTTTAGCGTGACTAGGCTATTAGCCAACTCCCCCCCCTCCCCCCCCCAGTGAACTGCTCTTAATCGTCGAAAATGCTGTGTGCGGCGTACTTTTTAAACGCGCCCTACATCGATCGAGTAGGGTAATTAAACACAATAAGGCTAAATCAATACAGTTATGCATATCACGTCGAGTTATCCTTATGCTGAACCAGGGTCTCAAATCGTGTCTGAATTTTGTTGTCGTGACAGTAGACCCGTCCTGGTGTCATCATACTGCGTGCACCTATGAAAATGAGCCTGATCTTGACAAACGCTTGTGGTTCGGGTGTTCTGCGGTTCACTTGTTGGAGATAATCCCAAATAAGCTCTCCCGGTCTGGGATCAGGAGATTTGAAGCAGGAGATGTGACTAGCTACAAGACGTATCTGATGCTATGCGAGGTTTTGAATCCTGGACGGATTGGCTTTGATGAGCAAATACAATTTCATCCTGGAAAATAGATTCTGACTGACCTGAAGTGGTCATAGCGAAAACCAATCGGTTTTTAATCAAGTAAAACTGGGCTGCTCTTTCCCACGCCCCAGACACATGGTCCAACACGGATTGGACGTCAATCACCCTGAGAAGTTGGCCTCCTGATCTGCTAATTCCGGCTTTGTACGTCAGTCCTCCTTATTGGTAACAGTCGGATCTTACTTCGTAACCGTACCTGCAGTAGACAGGCCCCAGTCTAACCCCTAACCCCAACTCCTAACCTCTAACCGTAACCTCTAATCCTAACCCCAACCCCTAACAGGTACGGCTACGAAATAGGATTTCGCTTTGGTGACAATGAATGAGTGAGAGAGAGAGGAAGTCGCTTTATTTTGAAATCATAAGTTCAAAATTTTCAGCAAAAAATTGGCTCCATTCACTATGGGCAGTAACTAAGTTAATAGATTATTCAAGAGTCAAAGTTTAACACAAAGAAATGATTATTATGAGGACAGTTCAAGTCTGAGCTTCTGTATTTCTATCTCTTCGCACGTAAGATAGCGCGCTAGGAATGACAATACAGAAGCTCGATAAGCCGATGTGCGACATGACATAAGTCGGAAGCTGCGGCGCATCGGGCGGGAAGGCTTCGCAGAAATAAGATCAGAATGCAAGGGATGGGCAACGTCATCTATAATCCGACCAGCAAATTGCTTGACCGCATTGAACTGTCGTTGTAAGATAGTGTCGACTAAAAAAGATAAGAAACACCAGCAGCATAAGAGAGCATGCGGAGGAATCGTTTCAAAATTAAAAGATCCTTTTTTAGCAAAACAGGAAAAATGACAGGAGAAGAGTAAAGGATAAGAGAAAGAATGCAGGCATCGATGAATGACCAGACTAACGGTTGAGGTGTGTGGTAGGAACGTAAACGACGTATGTAGTAAAGAAGTTTACGAACTTTAATAAATAGGGACTCAATATGGAGGGAAAATGAAAGATTTGAGGACAAAGTAACGCCGAGGTACCTGAAAGAGGATACTTCGTTAGGAAGAATGTCAGAGGAATCAGGGTTAGGAGAGGGCCGCAGTCGAAAAATACACTGAACGGATTTTTGGTTGTTAATTAGGAGACCATTTTCCTCCGACCACGCTAGGACATGGTTTAGGCCATCCTCTAGAGACCGGAGGTGTGTCTGACTTTTGAGAGGGTGTCCAACAACCACATCGTCAGCATACTTGACCAGAAGACAGTCATTAGGGGACCTTAGATCGTCAGTGTGGAGGGAGAAAAGGTGAGGGGATAGAATGGAACCTTGAAGAACACCGCAGTCATTGGGAAGGGTCGAAGATTTCCGCTTGCCAGATTGAACAAATTGGGTGCGGAAGGTAAAATAATCACTCAGTCAAGAGACGACCCAGACTGGAGAGCCACATGCGGAGGTTTAGGTAAGGAGAAGAGGGCGCGGGACGGTATTGAAGGCGGAGGAGTAATCAAGAAAAGCGCACGCATACTCGCGGCAACCCTTGTCTAATGCTTTTAGAGCAGAGTGGACCACAAGAGCGACAGCATCTAAAGTACTCCGTTGACTGGCAGAACGGGCCATATATAAGTAGACATAGCTTGTCAATTTTTCCAGCCATTAACGTGAATTCTGTTACTGTTTTAAAACATCAGGCCAATACGTCTAGTCTCCTGAAAATGAACACTGCATTTCGTATCAATCTGGTCCTGGAAAAATACCGTTACTTGGATCTGCGCTACGGGCTTCTTCTGAAATGGGGGCGAAAGGAAGTGAATCTACTCAAAATTTCAGCTCGGGCGTACCGTTTCAATATCCGTGTGGTTCGCTGCGGTGAATCATGGCGGTCACATCAACGACGACGCAGGTTAGTTTATATCTTACAAACATTTCTAATTAATATGCCTTCTTTATAAGGTTCAGTGGTCATGACTAACTTGGCCATAATAGCTTCTGCTTCTTTTAATCAATCGGTCGGTGGACCTGCCACCAGTTAATCACGACTTGAGACATTACTGGTGAAGGGTCGGCTCAAAAAGATTATTTAAGTAGGGTTGCAATATTAATTGCCATGCAGCATAATTCCAAGGTATTTCAGTCACATTAGAACGCCGGCTTTTTAATGAGTTTCCTTCGGACTATTTGAAAAAACCGTACTCCGTAAAAAACGACTACTTACTTTGCATGCATCTTTCCAATTAGCTTTCTGCGCCTTTGTGGATTCAAACTTATTTTAAAGAAAACAAGTGCAAAAATATTGGCCATTTTCTTCATTTGATAGTAAAGTAAGACTAGTTTCCATTAGGTGGCCACCAGTTGTCCAAGTGTATGGATCCATGATGAGGTGTTCCCTATAGTCAAATTTGGAGACACTGAGTTAGTGGGACCGCTTGTACTGCGGCAGGCGGTTCACAGGGGGTCTGCGACAGAAAACTTTCCCCTTCTTGACGAGAGGTAATCAGTACAGGTGTCAATGCAAGACGCGAGCGTGAGCCTGAGATCTGTTTTCCTGCGGTCAATCAGTGCCAAGGTGCCAACAAGTTTCTACCATCGAGGACAGTTGGGTATGGAATACCCATCTCTGGCTTATCTTACGATATCAGCCGACCGTATTTGGCCGCTGTCTTCCGAAAGTTGGTCCCAGTTCGGCATGGGTCAATTACACTGCCCTGGTCCCCAGTGAAAGCGCAATGTGGACATTGAAAGTAAAGTAAGCCGAAGGGGAATGCTGTAACCGTTAGTGCGAAAAGTAGCCAAGGCTGAAATGGAAAAAGCAACCTTATGTATGACAAGGTTGCGGCGATATTGTAGGAAGCTTAGAATCCCCGAAAAAGACCTGGCTGACAGGAAACGCGGTGCAGAAATACCCCAAAATTAACGGTAAACCTAACCGTAACCTCAAAAGCACACCTGATTCTTAATATAATTATAAACCTAGCACCAGCCGTGAACTTAACACTAAACCTAACCCTAAACCTACCACAAATCATAGCCCTGACACTAAGCCTAACCTAGACCCTGACCCAAATCCTAACCCTTACTTTAACCGTAACCCTAACCTCAACCTTGACGCTGAACATAAACCTAAAACGCAATTAAAACCCTAACTCTAATCGAAACCCTTAAACTTAGCACAAACTCTAACCCTAAATTTCCTTCTCAGCCTGACACTAGCCCAAACCCTAAAACTAACCCTGCCTCTAAACCGAAACATCAAGTTGTCCTGTTGTGTTTTATCACTGGCTATTTTCCCACTAACGATTTCACCACCCTCTTTCGGTTTACTTTACTCTCAATGCTCACATTGCGTTTACACTCGGGACCAGGACGGGGTAACCGGTCCCTACCCAGTACTGGACAGTTCGGCCGTCCGGAAGCGACAATGTCCACCGACTTGGGGCAGCACCGCTGAATCACGCTTGAGCTAGTTTATAAAGAGACGGACTTTTAACGCATCCACCGCGTCGTTTTCCCCTGGCAAGACGACCGGAGGCGGTCGCAAGCGCAGTGACCGACACGGCCGAAAGGTCCGTCTACGCGTGCGTCACACGGCCGGGATCCCCCTATTTTTGTACCAGGCTGCACTACATTCTGCGCCTCCCGCGTACGCATGTTCGGACGTTTTGCCCGCCATATCGGTGAGGGTAATTTGGACCGCATGATTGCCGCAGGAGTGAAAATGATGTGTGGGAGGCGTGCAGACCCACGTTTCAGAATAGGTTCTTTTGCCATCCGGTGGTGTGTGTGCGCGTGCAGGTAAACCGAGGTGGACAGTTTTGTTGGACATCTTCGTAGAGGCTACACGGCCGATTAGACCCATGAAATGGCTGGATGTCCTAGGGCAGGCGAGACATGTGTGTGACGGGACTTAAGACACTGGCTCGCTGCTCCCAGTGCGATAAATTCGAAATCACCGGATCAGGCCGATGCCAGGATGCGATCTCAGTGGGATTAGGTCGTACCTGGGTCTACAACGCTGATTAAAGAGATTAAAGATAATGTTAAAAATGGCGATGGTGTTAGTGTTTTGTAGGATGAGTTGCGGAATGGCCCTGTTAAGGACCGATCTGTGCTCGGAATGTCTGTCGGTTGCTTGTGGTGTTGGTCCACGACAAATGAGTTTTGCCGGTTCCTCTTTCTTCC